TTTATCAACAACATTTGCAATTGAAATTTCAAGCTCAGTTTATTATTGTTGATAGAGTTGAGGCTTGGTAGTTTATTTTGATTCACTCTCGTGTACGCACCGTGGTTTTCATATAATCAATACACCGGCTGATAAGGCAGTCCGTGCAGGCCTCTTTCAAAGCATATCAATCAGAAAATGACGTCGAAAGAAACAATGCAGTGTGCGATTGTCTGTTTTTGTCTGGAATTTCACATTTGATGACTGATTGTGTTTGTCAGTTTCAATGCCTAAATTCAAGTTTAGATTAAAATATTGTGTATTTAAGTGAAAGGTCGCCTTATGGAGGGAACAGTGAATATATGCTTCTGAATGACTTGTAGTGCAGAGGGGGTGGTTAGTAGATTACAAGACAGGTCATTTTTCGAACAAGATAAAGACCTAGATATTGATGGAGACATTTGAGTATTTTTTCATGTATCTCTTTTTGTAGTTGTTGTTATTTGTGTTTGTTTTCTAATAGCCGAACAGTTTACCGTGCAACCAAACGTCTTTTTAAAAATTCAACACAGACAAAAAACCCGATATTTCCATTGACACTATATTAATGATCACAATAAATTCCGGGTCTTTTTATTTGATAATGCTTCGATTCCGAAAAAGCGATGAAAACATGTAATAACATTTAAATACTGCTTTGTCGATAAATACTCAATTACCATTGCGGCCGAACAAGAAAAAAAGAAAGGATCTTTCATTTTCTTTTAAATTAAAGGTTAAAAAAATCTGTTTACCAAAAGTATTACGTTGTTTACATCTTATGCATTTCCCAACAGTAAAATGAACACAGGCTAATGCGCACCTACAGAGGTATACTAGAAGATATACGTACGTATTACGTGGCGGGTATTTTCTCCAAGGAATAGTGAACACTTTGCACGCGGGAACTTTCTCAGCACAAAAGAGCGCGTCTCTATTCAGCTGTTCGACCATTAGTTCTCCCTCTAGATTCATATTATGGGATGCACTGCGGGCACTAATCCGTTCAGAATACTATTGTTCAAATTATGTTAATGTTTGATATAAGAATAATTGTCATGTCAGACGTTGGAATTTGTAGTTATACAGCTTTTTTGGTAAGGATAGATATCTATATAGCAAGTCATCTCCCAATGATGTCCATGTGCCACAATTTGCAGAAAATTATCTGCGCTCAACTTTTCTTGTAATAATATTTTCACCCTATTATAACATTGTTTTGTTATCATTATTTAATAAGTGTATTTTATTTTATTTACATAGACTTATAAATGCCCTTCCATGTTTAAAAGACAAATTTCACTTTATTTGACGGAAAGAGAAGATAAATTATCGAACTTTGCCCACTACTTGACGATTAAAAGGTCAGCAAATATCATTTTTCAGAGCCCCGTAGTCAAAGAGCAGTTACAGACTCCTTTAAGAAAAGTGAACTTGTCTCCTGCAGGATTCGAGAATGCCGAGAGTGGGCTCCTGTTACCGTCACCGGAACGCACGTATTTGGCCCCAAACCTCTTTTAATAGGTTTGCAGTTTCACCATCGGAAATCCTTGTTCCGGAACGAGAGTCTTGAAGAAACAGAGCTTCTTGACTTACGGTGTGAGGGGTAGGATTCTAGACTTGGTCACGTCAAGTCCCGGAACCATCTTAGCTCAGTAAATATGGCAAGCTTTAGCAACCCCCTCGCCTCCACCTCTCTCTTTTCTCCTTTGGAATTATTTTATTTCATTTTTTCCCTTGAATTCATCCTTACAGTACCCGTCCCTTGACAATTTGTTATTCTTCACCGTACTTTATTATAGTGCAAATTCTCTCGGTATCGATCAACGCTAAAATCCACATTGACTTTCAAAGTGGACTTATCTCAATGTTCTTGTTTCATTTAAATATGAAACTAATGTTCACAAATTCCCTTACAGAGACTCCTGATGCGAATAAGAAGGAGTGTGCGAATTTATATTCAAAATACAAACTATTTAACACATATAACATAACGTTTCTACTGAAACAAAGAACAACAACAACAACACCACCCCTAAACAAAAATTCTCAGTGAAATGAAAGTGTTGGGACCCATTCAACATTTTTTTTTAATCACACGCGATGTTCTCAGCGCAACTTAATGATGTGTCAGTTATGTGACTCTCATTTTTCTAGCGACGACAATAATGAAGTGCATTTTCCATCAACTCAATCAGACCATGGAAAACAGTCAAGTTACGACAGAATATTAATTATGTAATCCATTAACGCGAACTTGTCTCCTTTGATGAGGTTTCCCAGCGGATGCATCTCCACTTGATGAGAAGGACCGGGGAAAATCCAAGCATTTTTGCCATAATGCCCTCAGGAATTACAAGCCATACAGGATTTCTCTAAGGCACCGAATCAACGACTGTTTTAATGATCTAATACGAAATTAAAAATAGAATCAAGTGAAAAAACAAACAAGCGTAAAAGCAAAATGCACGCTCCGTCGCAAGTCGTGAGAATCATTGTCATGTAAAATGTTTACATGAAAACGTGAGCCTTTTTCTCCTAGCTTGATCATGCCATAACTGAGATATGTTACGTGCGTGGAATCGAGTCACGTACAGAATAACAAACCACATGAAAACAGAGTAATAACCTCTTAAGATAATTAATTATTTCAATTTGCAATATAAGTCGGTACAGGCAGTGTGAGTCAAAAAACGTGGAACCCAAACCGTAAAAATTATTTTTCATATTACAAAAAAATATGTAGCACCAATAATAATATTAATGACTGGAAAGCCAATTTCATAAGCTACTTTTAGATGTAAAAAGAAATACTGAAATTGCCCAATCTGTTCAAAGAATATCCCCATTTAAACGCAATGACCCTAAAACCTCTTTCGTCCAAAAATGCAATTTCAACAATCGTTGTCACAATTGTCTTCAAACATCACCAGCGATAAAACCTCAGTTTAAAAGTTAAAAATATTCAACAAAGTCCCTTTGAAGGCCCGTCTTTAAAAAACCTGTGGATTTTATAAATCAGATTCGTTGCCTAACCAGGGTTGTTAATCACGATATTGTGTAATATAAATAACCCTAAAAACGAAACGGTTTTTAGGATCATTGCGTTTAAATGGTGGTATTCTTTGAACGGATTAAGCAATTTCAGTAATTTTTTTCATCTAAATGTAGTTTATGAAATTGTCTTTCCAGTCATTGTTTTTTTGGGTGCTACATATTTTTTTTAAATATGAAATATATTTTTGGGGGTGTGGGTTCCGCTTTTTTTTTTACTCACCCTGTACATGTAAGTTATTTAGATACATTTGTTAAATTCGACTGCTGCATTGAGTGTGACACAGTGTATCCTGTGCGCACAACGCCAGTCATTCATTTTGTAACCCCAAGTTTAGAAACGGAACTATTAAATTACTGAATTCATGTAGATTTCTTTACCAATATCACAAAAGCATCACCAAGTAACACTGGCATACCCATTTGGAATATTGCAAGTCAACCTGCCATTGTATCTATCCAATCCCACGTCTACAATTCTACACAATGCATGTGCAATATGTAATTCGATTAATATAGCAAAAGAGTGAATCACTCCTTGAAAAAGGCAAAATGTTATGAATCTTTTCATGTCATGGTCGGGTCAATAGTTGAATAGCTAATGAATTGCTATGAAGAGGGAAGAAGACAATCTACATCAAGAATCTAATTGGAAAGCACTGGGCGGGTAATATCACCTATACGACCCGACCAATGATGAAATAGGTTGCACTCAACAATGGATGCTCTATGCTCTTCCTGTTCATGGGACCCCGACACATTTATATTTCATGGCAAATATCAACGCAGCTCTATTTATCATGTGGGTCAGGTCCTTGCCTAGCTAGTGGACGAGACAGTAGTAACAAATTGGATGGATTGATTGGCCCCGGGTGGTTTGTAAAAACGAAAGAGAGAAAAACAAAATCAATAATTTAGACCGAATTTGGAATGAATTTGCAAAGGACGTTGTTGAATTGTTGGGCATGCGGGGGCGTGAAACTAATAATCAAAGTTTTAGTATAAGGACTTATGAAGGTCGGGCTGGGAAAAAAAGTTGGTAAAAACAAATGATGTGTTGGATAAAAGAATAAGGTTTTTAATATTACGAACAAATCTTTAACCGATTCGATAATCACGTCATAACGGACATTTAGTCAGACAAAAGATTGGCGCACACGTAGGTATTACGTGGTGACGCAAACATTCCATACGGCATCTTTTTCTCAGCAAAGTTTAAATCTAATTTCCTCTTCAAAAGGTACATGAGAAATACGTCATACTTTTCAATTTCTTTCTTATTTCTTTTTCCATGAAACCTGAGTTTAGTCGACATTTTGGCTGGGCGTAGGTTATTGCGTGGACACAATACAGAAGTAATATGAGAAGACTCGGGAAAGGGTAGAACCTTTGAGAAGTCTATCTCTGCATAACAATGACTTCGGCACAGCCGCGTCGCCACTGTGCATTTTAATCAACGGACTTTGGAACATATTTGTCCTCAGTTCCGATCCGAATTTCTTTAGCGAGGAAATTAATAAACACTTTGTCTTGATTCACAACTAGTGGCGCCGACGAAGAAAAGGCAAATTCTGAAAATTAATGGAAATCATTTTAGCAAGTACCGAGAAAAAAGAAAAAGTTGCCGTGACATCGTGTAGCTCATTTATTTTTTTACTATTACCTGGCTGATTTTGTGAGCTTTGGGGGATTAAATCTACAGCTTTCCCAGCACGTTTTTGCGTCGCCTGCCGTTTTCAATAAATAAATCAATAAATGATATTTCACTTTAATAAAAGTCTCATTTTCTGCAACTACGAAAAGATGTGATCGGCAATTTCAGCTTACGTTTCTACTCTTGCACAAAGGCCTTCTAAACACAACGTCATGAAAAAATATAAAATAAAGTGTCACACGCAAAAAAAACCCAAAAAGCAAATTCTACTCACCGATTCACACTTAACTCCAACACAAACTAGAGCTACAACTGTCTCGTCCACATTCCATGGGAAAAAAACATAGCCCACTCAGAGCGGTGGAGAGATGTCTTCTTGTAATGCGAACATGGGATGCGTACTCGTCTCCTCGCTGGCCTCGACTGCACGTCAGGCGGCTAGCGCGCTAGGTGTCAATACTACCTATCGCGTGGAGTTATGGCAAGAAGATGGGTGATTGACGTCACACGTCTACATAGCAACCAGCAACTAGTGCGGCGCGCGCACAAAAACAGAGAGCGGAAAACAAATCGTGACCACCTTTTATTATATACGAGTATTCTGAAATACAACCTCTTTTTTCATAAATGAATGCCAGGAACTTTTGAAGGATTTTGAGGGTCGATCGGTAATTTATACGGTTGGATAAATGGTGATTATATGTGTGGGTATGGAAATATACATTGGTGTGTATGTCAATACTTTAGATATTGTTCTTTCCTCGCGTGTCAAAATCAAATTATAGTTTCAAGTATTAATGAACAGAATCATTAGCACTGCCCTGGTTGTCATATTCAATCATCAATTCATCACGCTCAGTTATTAGTCTCATCTCCTAAATAGACTCTTCAATATCACAATATGACTGCTGCAACATTTATTTTATGATTAGGCTCCTGGTGTGAATGAAAAATGAATGTCTTCGTTCCAATATTCGTTTCCAATTATTGCAACAATGCCTCCATTTTGTCCCAATATCAACTTCAATAGTTTTCAATGTAATTCGGTCAGATTGGGTTTTTCACATCCCATACAAAGGAGGCTGCCATCGCGACTGCTAGACATTTACCATTTCCTAATCTTCCGGCACTTTTTTTTTGGGCGAGGGAGAGTTTCAGAATTTGTATGAATGATAAGATTTTATACGAAAAAATAATCAAATTTGCATTATAATTTCCTATACCTAAATGAAGGAATCGATCAGTAAATGCGTTATCATTTACCTATACGAATTTACCGTAGTGGAAATGGTTGTGTTTTTATATTCCATATTACGAGTATTATGACAGAGCCAGCAGATGGTTATACTCTCTTAATCTGCATGGCGTCAAGGCCCTTTAATTTATGTGAACGACATTTCTTTACAATGAAAGAGTCGTTTGATGAGGTTCAAGATAATTTCCTATTAATACACAAATTAGACTAGGTTCAGGAAAAACAGCAGCATCTGGGCCTAAAGGGTAATTATTTCTCTTTCATATGCAAATTTGGAGAATCGATTCAATGTAGCATCTGCATATAATTCAGTTTTTTTTAATGATCTGCTGTTATGATTTTTGTCGTAAAGCCAACACGTGAACTGTGACCGAAAGGTCAAGAAAGAACGCAGCCTTGTAGAGTCACGTATTACCAGTTTCATCATAAAAATTCTCTCAAGACTTATGACTTTTTTTTAATGATATCTTCAACAAAAAGCACACTAGCTCGTAATTTTTTTTAGGTGATCTCCACGAGATAAACATTTGATACGTCTCTGTATTGCTTAACCTGTCTGGTACACTGTTTCTTTTGATGTAAGACATTTATCCTTCACGAACAAATGATGTGTGAACAATCATTGTGATGTGTTGAGATATACCGGTATATTTTGTCAAAACGGCTAATGAAGAATATCGCATGATATGGCGTGGTTTTATTTCGCATCAAAACACCAGAAACCGCGTCCTCGGAAATCTTAATTTTGTACAGGGCGGTGATAATTGCTCTTTTTACGAAACTGGTAACCTACATTATATATGCCTTTTGAGAGACCAAGCAATGCATTTACTAATATCAATACTTGCATGGCAACGTAGCGGTCTGATACATCTGATGCAATTAAGCATAGGTAATAAAAAAAAAAAACCCAGCTCGAAATAAAACAGAATCCAGGAGCGGCGTGTGTTTAAACCTTTTATCCTAACCAGAGGCAGGACAAGCAAAGTACATTTCAATCTGACTCGCCTTCTTTTGGGGGTCAAATTGAAAGTACCTTTTTGTATAACACGTCTCGGGTATCGGAGTAGTCTTACAAAGAGGTTTCCGCTAATCAAGCTATGCCCAACGTGGTGGAAATGACACGTGACCTGGTCTTTGTGACACCTAAGACTTAATTTCACGGGACTGCTGAGCATAAATTCTTGCTTAGAAAATGTTAATGCGCCGAGCAAAGGTTAGTTAAGATGTAGTCGCAAGCAATGCCAATCATTGGGTGTATAAACCAAACCGGGCACGCTGTCAATTATATCACGAAGGCCCCCTTCAATGGCGAAAGCATTTTGCTAGGTATATCCGTCACGGGGGCCTTGTGTGTACATTGATCCGGTTTCGTCCATAGCTAAAAACTTGTTTCTGCTGAGCGAGATTGTTTAACAGCAAATATCTGAGTTTAATGTTCAAATCATGATTTGTAAAGAGTTTCGAGTGTGTTTTTCGGCTTCAACATGACATTCATAGTTCTCATTTTTATCACTCGGAAACTCGCAGAGATCCTTACGGAAATCATGAAACAGCCAACACGCGTCGAAGTTATTGTTCTAACGATCACATCAGTTCCTTAAATTGCCCTTCTTGTTATTTTTTGTCCAATCAGACTGCGGAATAGGGAAACTGCGTCATTCCACGTAGCAACTAATGGAATCTAGCCAACCTTTACTGACGCACTGTCTTTCCTCAAAAAGTCACTTTCTCCTTCATGCAGGACTTCGATCAACAATTCCTGACCCAGCCCGACCACTGTTCTGATCAGAGAGTGAAAACACTTGAAAATTGACACCTGGAATTTTCTTTAGATAATTCAAAAATCACAGTGAAAAGCAATATACACGCACTGTGTGTATTTTATATTTAATTAGTCATGAGAAAGTGCGGGTTTTTTTTCTCAAGTTTTATAATATTACCGATCGAAGTTAGGACTATGCAGGAATACTTCGTATATATACGCCCAGCCCCGGCCCAGCAACTTGATTATAGTCGCGGCTGTTTGACGTTCCGCATGTCTTTTGCATCATCAAACGACTGCGCAGCAAATTGAATCAACCAGTGAAGGGATATACGGCTTGTTTATGCTACCAACCTGCCCAAGGCAAGAGGGGGAATCTAAGATGGGGTGAAACAGTGCGTGTGGTGAGACGACCCCCCCCTCGCTCCTCATCATACCAAGACACGGAGAGCTAGCTAGAGAGGTAACAAACTGACCTCAAGTCTTGAGAATCCATGAGCATTGCCGATGGCTTAGAGAAGAGTTCGATCATGCGATGAATAATACCTGCAGCCGCCCCTGGCAATGTAAACAGATGAAGGTTTTCTTGTTTTTCCATTTTTTTCGCCCAAATATTAGCTTCAGTGGATTAACAAGAAGGCTTAACCTGTTGCGAGGAGCGCGGTATATGTAGGCCACTGAAGAGCACAGATTGCAGAACGCATCCATTGCAACTCCGGATATTACTTGCTTGCATTGTTCATCCAATAAATCCGAACCGGACGCCTAAAAGAAATATTTGTATTCGCCGTTATGTATTAGATGGAGGACACGACATGTGGAGATGTGTGCATTACGTCAAGAATCCATTAAACCACGAAATAACTTTTTTGGTGATATTATTTCGACATGAATGTTGGTTGAACTATGAAACATGGATCCCCACTTATTGTTCGATCGATCAATAATAACCAATTGCAACTCTATTATCAAAACTCCCTATAAACGGAGGAAAATGATATCAACATAAAACTGACTGCATTGAGGCATTTGTCTGCAAACACAGCTGTTGACTGGGGCTGTCAGCGCCTATTTACTGATTGGTGTTTGGCAATCAATCTCGATGCGCTAAACACTCATCAATCAAACCCAAGAACATTTTTTCTTTTTTATTTATAGGGCAATGTTGATCACGATCTCGGGTCAACTCCGAGGTAGACAACCCCTTCCGATCGTCACTACGGAATAGTTCATCGATTGGATTTAATTAACTTCGGTGAGCCCGCTGCGCCAGCGATTTAAGGCCCGAACGAACAGCCAGCCAATTCCCAAGCAAACTGCGCCGAACATCAACTTATACATTGATGGACACCAAAGTCATCGCTTGGTTAGATATAAAACTGATAACATTTTTTATTAAGACACAGGAAGCGTTAAACACAGTCTTTTTTGTTCAGAGCAGTGAAAAAAAAACCCGAGCATGAATGTTTGTTGGATTTGGAACGGAATAATTTTATTGTAAACCTTTTGTTTTACGTGATAAAGTCTGGTTGCTTCTGGAATCTCAACAGATTTTTTTTCATGACGAAAACAAGAAAGAGGTTGATTTGACAAGAACTTAGCGGGCTTGGCAAAGTTTCTTGTCAAAGCCCAAAAGACCCAAAGGTTTACAAAGTTTTTCCTCCAAGCCGAAACAGAAATTAGTCAACGCTGCATTGATCGTTCCGCCAAGTGCACAAGTTGCAAATGTCCACATTCATTTCATTCCAAATACTTCGGGCAATTTGAAGTTGCTAAAAATACAGCCAATCGATAGCGGCCCCCAAATACCCCCGGATAGCAGTCTCTTTGGTTGCCGTATTAGTTGTGAAAACAACCCAAGGAAGCCATTTCAGACTGTACTCAAACATTGTCGTCTTGAGTTGGCTGCTATTTTGGGCGGTGAGAAAGCATCCGGAGCGATAGAGCAAGTCGAGCGAACGACTGAGACAAAATGCATTCTATACATAATACCCCACGCCATGTGACATTACGTGTATAGGTAACTTGTACTTTAATCGTCAAAATGCCCCCAACCATTCAGGGAAACTGAATTGGCATTTCGTTCAAGTTCGAGTCTTTTTTGATGACCTTTCAGAAGATGTTTACCGACGCCGAGAAAGGAGACAAGTGATATTCAATCTATCACAGAAGGTCATACTATAGTAAGATAAAATCGTGTTAGCAATGGATCAGTCTGAGAAGACAAGTGTACCACTCAGGAGCTAAAGCGTTCCTCAGACAAAGAGTTTGGCATTAGCATAAAATATCCCACCTTCATGTCAAGGTTCGCCAGAATTATGATGGTTTTTTTCATGGGCAACCACATGGCATTTTGATTTGTGAAAATATCTCGTACGCCAAAAGAATTGAGTCAGAGCTTCAAGTACCCTTGA